AAGCCCTGGGTGGGATGATGTAGTTGGTGTTCGTCCTGCTTTGAGCAGGGGGTTGGACTAGATGACCTCCTGAGGTCCCTTCTAACCCTGATATTCTATGATTTATTGATTTCTTGGTTTAGTTCGGAGGGGATCAGCTAAATGGAGAGGGAAGGGGGACAGGTCAGGAGAGACGAGGATAAAAGGGACAGGGGTGGAGTAAAGAGACTGAGGAAGGGGGAGGGGAAAGGTTGGAACAAACAGCCAATCAGCATGGGGCAGAGAAAATCCTGTTCGATTATTCTGACATACCATTAAATTTGATATTTTAACTATGACCAACCCATTAAATATAATTATATCAAAATACTGTCCCTGTCATTCTGTATAAAGAAGAAATATACATGCCCACTTACATATTAACCAGGATAAATTTATTAGGAGAGATCATAAACCATCACACTACATTTTGGTTTAGTGGTCTTCTTTGCAGCATAACAGGAGTAATTTAAAGGGAGTTCTGAGTTCTGAAGCTGTCAGTTGAGTCACTTAGTATACTAATTTTGGTTCTCTTAATCTTTTTTTGTATTGTATATAAATAAATGTTTCTTTTTTATTTTTTTACTGTGATGTGAAGTGCAAAACATTTTATGAAATACTTTGCCAGTTGTGCTACCTGCTTGTCTCCGTAATGTAAATATTTCAGCCAAATTTTCAGAAGCACTTCGTAAGTGCTCATACCTCAGTTAGGCACCCAAAAATTGAGGCAACCAAGATCAGTGGCCATTATTAGAAATTCTTGACTTGTCTTTTTAACTAAACTGGAAGAAAGTGTTTATGTAATCCTTATTGTATAGGGGGAAATAAAGCTACATTAAAAGAAGATTGTTAGGGTTGCTAAATAAAGACCTCAAAAGTTAGGAAATGCCAGCATATAGGTTACCTGTGCAACATTAATTTGAACCCCTGGTGCACATGCATCATTATACAGTTTTTAATCACATAATCACATACTGTTTTTCCCCCGTAGACTCCCTGCCTCGTTCAGTGCATAGAATGGACAGTGCTCAGTTAATGAGCATCTCTTCAGTATTTTGTTTTCTTCTTTGAGTTGGTGGCCCCATGCCTTATTTACTTCACACTATTCTAAGCTGTGAAGACAGAATTATTAATTTCCTCCTGAGCTTTTCTATGGTACTTCTCACTATAGTATCTCAGTGCTTCAGGAAAATTAATGAATTTATTTTCACAGGCCCTGTGAGATGTAGGGGTGATTATTATCCGTGTTCTTACAGTTTGGAACTGAGGCAGAGGGATATTAAGCTCAAAAGTACCCACTGATTTGGGGTGCCTAATTTGAGATACCTATTAGAGGGTCACAGAAGAGGAAGTTGGAGAAGGTGATTTGAGACGGTTGGTAAGAAGGAGGAAGTCCCTTATCAGAACCATTCCATAGTTTTGTAAGTTCAGGCCCAGTGCAATGTTGGAGCTCACTTTCAAGCTGATGATTCTTTATTAAGAACAAAAACAAATAACTGGTTTGCCTATCTTTGCCACAAACCAAGAATGAACTGTAACTCTCTCTGGCAGGGTGTGAATGGCAGAAAAGTTGAAGGGCACTTCTTTCATAATGTCACAACCAGCCCAGTCAAATGCTTTACTGGGTAAGGCATTACATTTTGATGAAAAAATTAGAATATGAAATTAACATTGCATACATTACATGGATTAAAAACTGATTGGTTGATAGATCTCAAAATATAACTGTAAATGGGGAATTGTCATCAAGCATGTGTTTCCAGTGAGGTTGATTCTTGGCCCTATACTATTTAACATTTTGTCAGTGACCTGGAAGAAGGCATAAAATAATCACTGAAAGTTTGCAGATGACCTAGAAACTGAGGGAGTGGTAAATAATGAAGAGGAAAGTTCACTGAGAAAAATCTGGATCGCTTGGTAAACTGGGCACAAGCAACCAACTTGTGTTTTTAATATGGTTAAATGTATACAGCCCATACTTATAGGATGGGGGGGGGGGCTCTAACCTGGGAAGCAGTGATTTTGAAAAAGATTTGGGGGTCATAGAGGATAATACGCAGAATATGAGCTCCTGGTGCAATACTTTGGCCAAAAGAGCTACTGTGATACTGGCATGCATAAATGGGAATCTCAGGTAGCGGTGGAGAGGTTATTTAACTGCTTTATTTGTTACTAGTGCAACTTATGCTGGAGTACTGTGTCCAGTTCTGGTGCCCACAAATCAAGAAGGATGGTGATATATTATAGAGGGGGGTAGAGAAGAGCTGTGAGAATGATTTAAAGGATTTGAAAACCTGCCTTATAGAGAGAGCTTGAGCTCTTCAGTCTATTTAGCTTAACAAAAAGAAGGCTAAGGGGTGACTGGATTAGTCTAGAAGTATCTACATGGGGAACAAATATTTAATAATGGGATCTTTAATCTAGTAGAGAATGGTATAACATGATCCAATAGCTGGAAGTTGAAGTGAGGCAAATTCAGGCTGGCAATAAGGTCTACATTTTTAGCAGTGAGGGTAGTTAACCATTAGAACAACTTACCAAGGTTATCAAGGTGGTGGATTCTTCATCTCTAACCATTTTAAAATAGAGATTGGATCTCTTTCTAAAAGATGTGCTCTGGGAAACATTTTGGGGAAGTCCTATTGCCTGTGTTACACAGGAAGACACACTAGAGGATCCCTTCTGAGCTTGGAATGTATGAGTCTAAGAAATGGTAGCATAATGTTTTAAAATATCGATTGAGCCATTTAATTTTGTGACTTACTGCGAGTCCATAGAAGTCACAACTAAGGAACTTGCTATCATAAAGTGTATAAAAGCAAATATGTCCATCACCAATCTTTGTCATGTTGTATTTTCATATTAGTGATATGGCTTAGAGGTTAGCTATGGAGTAGATGTAATCAGTTATCTGCTACCAAGGAGCCCAGGTCCCACTGTCTCTTATCTCTTTCTCACTTCTGTCTAGATTCATTGATCTCTGATTAGTCATCCAGTTTGCAAGGAGTGTCCCTCTTGGTTTACACTAATGACAGCCTAGATATTTAAAAAGCTATACTTCTCCATTCTCTGACATGCTTTAGGCACCTTGAGAATTCAAATTTCTTTCCAAAATTTGGCGTCTTGAAGGAGGCTGTAGCTGGCTTCCTATCTCCCTACTGAAGGAAACTTCCTTGTCAGTTATAATGGTCCTTAGCCTGTTTCCCTCAGCTTTCCTTGCTCCCCCATTATCCTTTGTCATGTCATAAGTAACAAGTATTTCTAATCCTAACAATAAAATAGCATTACATTTTTATTATCCAAATTAAGAGGAACATGAGTGACTGTTTCAGATACAATGTCATCAAAGAAACCTGGCTGAGAGTAAATTAACACCTGTCATGTATGGAATATGATTAGTTTCCCAGATTCAACTTCCTTTATCCAGCCCACCTGGTCACTCCATGGTATAAAATGTTACAATCTCAGTGTTCTTTAAAATGTTTGCAACGCTTTTTTTCCTTCTTCTGTGTTAAAGGAGTATCACCTTGATGCAATTCATGATTACAATAATCATTTTATAATTTTTGTCTCCATATGTTGTTTCGTTGAAATAGCTATTGTATTAATCCACCGTAAAATGTACTAATCGTACTAACGTAATGTACTAACCGTAAAATGTATTAATCCACTGTAAAATGTACTTGGCCTACATGGAGCATTTTATCATATTATTTTAATTTCCAGTTATTTGCTTTTCTTCTAATACAGAATTCAAAAATAGATGCTGCAAAAAGTTCAGTGGTGATGGTTCAATATGTGGCATTTTTTGTTTTTGTTTTTTGTTTTAAACGGGCATTGAAACAAGATAGCTGTATGGTATTTTATGTCACTGCTTAGCCTGAGGGTGCTGGCTTTTGGTTGGGGCACTAAATTGAAACTAAGGTGTTGATCTCTTCATTTCATTGGAAAAAAGATAGTATGGCGCTCTTTGCAAGTGTAGAGCTGTTAATTCTAGTGTCCTGGCCAAATTTCAATTTTGATAAATATATTCTGCCTACAATTCCCCCTGAAGTTTCAAATGAAGAAATTATTTCTTTACTTCCCCTCCTAAGAATTGTTGTACAGTGTTGTAGGCACAGAATGAGTACTGCATTGCACCCCACCGAAGACACATTTGTGTGTTGGGAGCTTGATCCTGTACTTTGTACAGTCTGTAAAGCACTTCCTGATCTTTGGAGATGAAAGCAACTGTATAAACATCATATTATTTGGTCACAAGACTGGGGCAATTTGTTGAGTAATATTGGCCAGCTGGAGGATGCGTGGGGTGCAATAGTGCACGATCTGTGGAGGTGTGAATTGCACCCTCACAGAGCTAAGATGTGTGGATTGCTATTATTAGTGTCCTCAATTACTGAAGTATGCAAGCAAGAGATGACTCAAAATCATGCTAATTTTTTTTTTTTTTTTTTGCCTTTGGTTGCTACTGTCTCGAAGAAGATAAATAAAATGGTATTTGATGTAAAAAGCCAAAATGTCAGTATGGTGGAAATAGATAAATTTCCATGAGAAAGTTACCCCAGCCCATACTGACCCCATGTAAGGGCCAGGAACAATCACAGTACTTGAGTACTGATGAGGTTAGTGACATTGGGTGGAGAGCACAACTGAAGGAAACAGCAGAGCTGGCCAGTGCAGATGAGAACACAGGCTACTTTCTCTGAAAGGGTGGCACAATAGCCACTTTGCGTCTGGGTGGTATGGAGCTCTGAGAGGCATTATGTCTGACACACAATGCTTCCCAGAGCTGTCACTTGGTTAGTGTAGCTTTGGGCTGCCCCAATGCAGGGCAGCAACTACACAATACAAGCCAAACCCTTGAGCTGAGCTGATATACTACTTATTGCTTTACAATCAAAGGAGTCTGTTAGTTACCAATGTACAAGTAGAGCTCAGATATTTTTATAAAAAATACAGATCTATTTTATTTTGTATTGTAGGAGACAACAAAGAATAGGTGCACCTTCAAAAAAAAGTAAGTGGTCGTCTTTTTTACATCCAATTGTTCAATGTAAATATGCATTCATTTAATTGTGATAAATTTTAAGGTTGTTGTCAGACCAAAAGTGTGTTTTCAGTTATTGGCACTTAATCTGGGATGCAAATGGGAGGTAGGCACCCATGGGAGCTTTAGAGGGGCATTGGCAAAATGTAATTGAGCATGCGACTGGGTTAGGTTCTGGCTGTAGTGGTAGGGGATAGGGGCTTTCAGCCTATTTTCAGAATTGTACAAAGTGCAACCATTCCCAGATAGTCAGGGCCATCCCAAGTGAGAGCAAGGTGGTGTGAGGAGTAAGATAGTGGGGGCACTGGCCTCATCCACGCCTAGTGGGTTTGGATGGGAATCAGATTGGGGTGCCCTCACCAGTCAGTGTGGAGTTCTCAGCTTTTTAGCAGAGGACAAGGACATCCTGTCACTTTCTTTAGTCCAAGTCATGCTGTTGCAGTCTGTTATGCTTTTTAGTGGGTGTTTTTGTGCCTGTAGGACCAATTAGTATATACTAATATGAGAGCAGATGGTGTGGCCATGCAGCCCAGGGCTCCCTGCTTCTTGGTTTTGAGAATTATCTTCTCAAGTGGCCATATTGGTTTATCTGATTCATCTCCAAATGCAAAAAGATTATTTTTAAATCATCATTATGCAAGCACAGGGTCCTTGCAGCTCACCTAGGTTAGCACAAACAATTACATGGCCTCCCACTCATCCTCCAGCTCCCTTCAGAATCACCCGAAACCCCTGTCAGTTTTACTCCTACTCCTTTCACTAAACATCCCCTAAAGAAATTGTAATTTGCAGGACAGCAATTTGCTGGAGAAAGAAAGAAAGGTAAGGAGGTCAGGACATGGCATGGTACCAAAGCTCACAGGAGCTAATTGCTGTTCTCATTGGAAAATGGAACCTAGAGGCCAATAAAGTCCGTTGGGAGAGGGATAGGTTGTTTCATAGAACAGCTCTGGGTTTTTAACGTTTTGTGTTGCTCTGGGAGGGTGGGGAAGCCATACTAGTACAGCAAAACTGGTCTCACTGACTACTGCCATATTTGTTCTGGTCATGATGTGGTTAACAGTCAGGGTGCAAGGGGCCCAGCACTCTACACACCCATTGCCTGCAACAGCTGACTGGGACTAGCCTCCAAAGCAGTGCTCATGAACAGCACAGTAAAGAAAACGTTTCACGTACGGTATACTGTTCTTTGAAAGGAGGGTTCAGTTACAACAACTGTCTTGACTTTTATCTCCCTCCCTCCCTTCGGTCAGGATAGTAAAATGCTCTGCAATATGCTCCTCTAGCGTAGTTATGAGGACCCTATGCAGTCCAAACTTGACATAGTCACTGGTATAGCTGACCCAGCTGCTCCACAGCTCAAGGGTATCAACAGGCATGATGGTGGGTAGTGTCTACACAGGGCCCTCATTCAGATCACAGGACCTGTTTGACTAGCATGAGAAATAATGTGTTATAATATGACTGGGTCCTGGTCCTCATTAATCTTTTTCTCCCCCCCAAAAAACACAATAAATGCAGTTGAAGTTCAAAAAGCATATTTAATATAATTTTCAGGAATAGTTAGATTGTAAGTTCTTTGGGGATCCTCCCTTTTATGTGTTGCTGTAATGCGTACATGTTCACCTAGGACTCTCTTGGGCACTGTAATCAAATAACTGATACCAGTATCACTGTGCAGCAGCCATGTCTCATTGTCATGTCTAGTTTGGAATTGAGGGTCTCATCTATGGGAGTAGTAGTAAAAGAAATTCAGTATAATATAGCAAACACTTACAGCCTGACTCAGCCCACTGAGGACCCTACTATAGAATAAATAACCCTTCCTTATTCATTTTCTCCACACCATTCATGATTTTGTAGACCTCTATAATCTCTCCTCAGTTGTTTTTATTCCATCAAGACCCAGAAAAACTGACTACCATTTTGAAGGTTAATAACATACACATTTATAATGTTCTTTTTCAAATTATGCCTAGTTTATAGGAATCTTATAAGTAGTTTTAATAGTAACTAGGATCACTTTATTGCATTATGTATTCAGTAACTATTGTGGATTATTGTGTGCTGAATAACTTAAATCCAAATGATGCATTGTGAAAGTACTTAATATGAAGTAAATAAAATTTGTAGATGTGCTCATGTACCCTTTCAAGTTAATCTGTGACAAGAGTAATCTACAAAACAATTCTAAGACACCTGACAAATTTGAATATATTACTTCACTTCTTACACCTATGTAAAGTTTGGATCTTTGTTTTTACAGAATTTCCCCCCATTTCAAAAACAAAAATCCTGCTGTGTAATGGTCCCTCTATCCAAATAGAAATTTTAAAAGTTGGCAGAGAAGTTCCTCCTCTTTCTGAATGGATACAATGACTGTTTGGTACTTAACGGTGTACTCTGCATTCATCAATAGAAAAGCAAGCTCTTTCATTTTGTAATGAACAGTAGCAGATTGGTTTAAAACTATAGTAAGTTCAGAATTTGTTACAATGTAGAGTGATGTCATTAGCTTTCCATCTTCTCTTGTATAATTATGGAGTGTAAAAAGGAAAGCACTCTAGTTCTTCCACTGTTTAGACACCAGGAAGTGGGGATGAGTAGTGAAGCATGTGGATCTGTACTGGCAATGTACAGTAGCTAGACTTATTGATAAGTAACCTTATTTCTCTTAGTAATACTGTCAGAACAGATCTGCATGCTAGGGTGATAGCCTGAGTGAATCAAACTTTCTTTACAGATCTGTTGTAACCTTGCTGGTATCACAGTACTTGAAGATCGAGCACTTTCTACCATCTTCAAAGTAGCTTCTACAGTGTGTTTCGGGAATGTTGGCATTATTGAGATATGCAAAGCTGCTATCTGGGACTTTATTCACACAATTACAAAGTTATTTATTGACTTGGCTTCTTGACCAAATACCTGTTCAATCCTGCTATCTAATATCCCAAGTATGGATCTTCACATGCTAGATGTGAAAAGCATACTTCCTTTCTGAAAAGTTGGTCTCTCTGATGTAATCACTAGAAATCGCTTTATATTACTGCTGTCTTGAAGACTGGATTTTTTAACAACAATAATAACAAAGAGGTACTGCTTCTATGGTTTATACACAGGATTAGAGTGAAGGAGACCTGGGTTTAGTTCCCAGCCATACCACAGACTTCCTGTTTGACCCTGAGAAAATACTTTTCTCTTTCCCTTTGCCTTGTGTATTTAAATTTTTAAGATCTTCAGGGCAGTGACTGTCTCTGGCTGTGTGTGTTTGTACAGTGCTTGGCACAATGGGTCCCTATCTTAGCTCTAGGTACTGTGGTAATACCATATTATAGATATAGGAAGGAATGTTAAGTTTAACTAGGAAACTTAGCTGAGACTTAATACCTATCAAAGGTTTTTTTGAGTTGGTGAAAATCCATTATTTTTTAAATAACAGGATATAGCTGTATTTGTTTTCAGTGCATTATATTACAAAGTCTACGGGAAGTACTGCAGATCTTTGAAGGTTCAAATGAATGCTGCTTCCAATGAGCTTATAATAAATTATGCATGACCAGTGGTGCTGTTTATAAAGTGTGTATTGTTCCTCTGATAGTTCCTGAAGACTTTGAAGAGTGCACACCGGAGAGGCAAGGCGTGAAGTGGTGAGGCTGTTGAGCTAAGTTGGGGAAGACTTCTTTGGAGCTAGGGAACAAAGACACCTACAGGGCTCCCTGCTTCCCAGTGCCCTTTGGAGTTTAAGCTCTCTGTATGATCCTCTTATTTCATTCTGCTCCCTTTAATTAGCACACCTGTGTACATACTGAAGTCTGTAGAACAATGCCTCCAGTCTGAACTGGGTCCAGCAAAACTTTCACTTTTTATAAAGTGAGCATGATTGGTCATTATTACTGTGAACTTTAAGAAATCCACCAGGATGGCAATTTTTTAGGAGAATTGGGAATGACAAGCAAAGAGACTAGAAATAAAGTGGGAAGCTGGGGAATTGGAAAGGCTGATTGGGAGCTAAGGAGCAAGGGGCTTTGGAGGCCTATGTCTGGACTTTCAGTAGAGGTAAGCCATTGAGGTCAGTGGGAACTGTGGGTGCTCAGTATCTTTGAAAATCAGGCTATATGAGCTCATTAGGGTTCCTTTCTTCTCTTCTTCTTCTGGTCCCCAGGGCCATGCAGACCTCAAGCTCCACAGGGTATCTGCCTCCCACTAGTTCTTGGCGTCTTCCACACTTTCTCCTCTTGAAATGTGCATTCTCACTGGTTTGGATTTTTCCTCATTTAGTGGTGGTGTGTAAGCAGCTGTGGTTGAGGATATCCAGCAACTTGCACATGTCTGTACAAACTTCAGCCTCCTTCATTCAACATGTTGAAGTGCTTATGAAAATCTTTAACTGATGCAGCGTAACTTGCTGTGCCAGCTCCAGAAAGCTTGCTCCACTCACTGTTTGCATGGAAGAGATTGTCTTTGAACATTTTATCCAGCATCTTTTTTTTCTTCTGTAGGTTAGAATGGTGACAATTTATGTGTGAATTAAGAATTTGGGGCCAGATTAACTTGTTGTTTAAGATTTATTTATGGCTGCTTGCTTCACCAGAGTGACACAAAACAATTGAAGCATACCAGTGAATCTGGCCCATTCCTAATAATTTATTTGCTTTTTTTTGTTTTTGCTAGAAAATATTTTTGTGCACCAAGTTGTAATGGAGACTATTTAAGTGTGACCCTATTTTGAATAGTGACTGCATAAATTGTATCCAAACTCAACAGACTTTCTCTTTGTGTGCATTCAGTGTCACATCAGTTTGCCTGATTAACAAAATTTAAGTTTCAACTACTTTTTACTTCTGCTAGTTCTTCAGAGCCAACAGAGCTAATATTGAATTAGCTGGATTCTATCTACTTTGTTCATCACCAACAAAACTGTTTATTTAAGATCCAGTCAATTGCACCTGAGCAGTCCCATTGAGGGCCTA